AGTGAAGTGTTCCTCTGAACGTTTTCTGCTCTGATTAGCCAGTCCCTCCAGTATTTGCTGCTATGCTTCTGTGAACAGGGCTGTTAATAAACCGCTTAATAAACCGTTAGAATCGCTGGCCATTCCTGCCCTGGGAACCATCGTGATAAAGATTCCCACTTCCAGTGCCGGAATCTGAGGAATGCAGTCACCCCACCCCACCCCACCCCAACCCCACATGTAACAAGTTAATTCTTTAAAAAAAATATGGAAATTTTTATGGCCTATTTTTTCATACCTGTTCTTAACTGATGCGGACTAGTTTTGTACTGACTGTGCCCCTGGAAAGCACCAGAACCCTGAAAAAACTTAAGCCAAAAGCACATATATATATAAAAAAAGGAGGAAAGAGGAGGGTGAGAAGGCAGGGGAGGGCAAGATTTTGCAGAACTGCCCCCCACCCCGCAACTGTCGCTCCCCAGTCAGGAGTGCAGTTGAAACTGATCCTTGCCACACATAGGGGTGCCTGAATGCTCAGAGATGCATTCAAATCTGCCTCAAGCCAAGAAGCAGAGCACACAGCACAATTCCCCCTCTAAGGACAAAGCATCTCACGCTTCACCCTTGCCACGAGAGTTGTCAGGAAAGACAGAGAAAAGAAAAAGCAAAGTCAGCAAACACGGGATGATCAAAAGAGCTGAAAGTTACCTGCCAACAGGTCGGAACGGGATGTCACCAAACGGCTGCATTTACTGTTTTACCACAGGGGGAAAAAGTTTTAGGGAGGAACATTCTCAATGGATTTTCACAAGCTCTCTCTCTCTCTCTCTTGCCATCAGAAAGGGGAGAAGGGAAGTTTTTCTCTGGATTGTTTGACTTTAATTTGGCTCCTGAAAAGTTATTGCAAAGAACAGTAAGAAAGTGTGAACTGTTAGAAAACATTTTTTTAAAAAAAACAATATATATATATATACATATATATATATATATATATATACACATATATATATACACACATAACATATCAGAATACTGTCAAGAATTACAAATTCCCACCCCAATATGTATCAACACTGCATTAACCAAATAAAAGACATTCAACTGAAAGTTAGAACATAGAGGGGTACGGAACTTTCCAACCATGGGTTCAACCACCATCAGAATGTTCCAGAAATCACCCTCCAAGGTTAAGAGAATCAAATAAAAAAATGAGAAAAACAAAGGAAAGGGGCAACATCAGGTTATAAGTCCTACAATAATTTAGAAATTCCTAGAACAGTGAAAAATTAAAAAATAAAAAGAGACAGTAGCGGCAGAGGTTACCTGTCCGAGCACCTACAATTCCATAGAGAGAACAGGAGTGGGTCGTGATTCTCACACCAGCCAAATAGCTCATAAACCTTCTCAAAAAGAGTGAGCCATGAGAAAGAATTGTACATGTCGATTTAAGCCCTTACACATTTACCCAACGTGGGCTTTTTAAAGACCAGGACGATTACTGGAAACTGAAAAAGCAACATATTTCACACTGAGTCTAACAAGTGTCCAGTGCATTTTCCTTAGCAGGTCCTCCACGGGGTGCACTGCTGGGCAAAGTCATCAAGATTGTTCCGACTCCAAAAGGCAAGTATGGCCCAGCCATCAGAAAAGCAGTCCATGAGCGTGTTGTACTTCCATCATCCACTACTAATCACAGCGCTCCAGAATGTGACAGGACGGTTTATAAAAACACATTAAACTAATAAAAATGTGGATATACACAAAGGCATCAAACACAGTTTTATACAGTACAAAAATAACAGTTTTATTTTCAGAACTCGTGTCTATTAAGAGATTCGTCACATAATGATTTTCCCTCCCTCTGCTGCTGCCTTGCTTCCATTTTTAAGCGTGCGTGCAGTCACGGCCTCTGTTTCTATTTCACCAATTCCTCTTTTCAGCATCAGCTGTCAAATTCTTAGCAGCAGTGTGGGTGCTCTTCGTGTTACCAAAACGAAGGAAATATTTGTGAGAGGAGCACAACATGTAACACTAGCCTGTCTGGAGCTAGATGCTGGTTGGCATAACTGTGAGAGATTTTCTTTACCTATAGTAGGCAATTAGATTTTTTAAAAAAAACAAATTTACTCTTCTTCCCCACTTTAGGCATTTTTCTGATGTGGCTACCGTGGGCAGGCAAGGCAGGGGAGGCTTCTATAAGCCTTGTTTCTCTAGACAGAAAACTTGCAGTGAGGTTCAGTGATCAATGTCAGCCTTGGAGTACATGAAGTGAGGCTCCATCTTAACAGTGTAAGCAACAAGCTACCCATTGGCAAGCAGACAAACCCCGAGTCCAAAAGCCCTTTCAGTTTTATCTCAAAGTGTTTTGAGAGTGAAGCATGTAATTCATTTCGTTATTATACTGCTAATAAAATGGGTCGGTCTCAGAAACGGAGGAATGTTGCTACAACCTGTTTTGCCAAGCAGTGTAGGAACTCAGTCAGTATAGCCCATATCAGAACCGTTCAGGAATTACCAACTCCTTCCTGGGCTTACTCCTCTTGCTTCCTGTGAGTGGTGCACACATGTAGAGGTGCTTGTTCGGCAAATAAGAGGCTTAATTCTTTCCTCATATTCCTGAAACTTGCTAACAGCACAATTCTAAAAACACTTTCTTGGGAGTAAGCACCACTGAACAGACAAGAGTTGAATTCTTAGTGGACCGGCTTAAGATTGCACTCTAAGAGTTTAGAAGCAAGTAGAAGAAAAATATGGCCCAACTAGATTTTCAGAAGAACCTGTATTTTAGGAGACACATTCATTGAGTGCTGAAAAACCTCCAAGCATGAGCAACTCTCTCAACCTAGTCACGATTTTTGGTTACAGTCTGTGTGGCATGACTGATTTTTTAAAAAAAAAATATTAAAGGGAGACGTGAGCATCTTTCGTTCCAACCTGGGCACTCAAAATGACTGCTTTTTGCTTCACCGTCTAATGCCAACAGTCAACCTTCCACATGATTTTAATAATAATATTTAATTCTACAAAGAGTCATTACATTTTTTAAACAAAAGGGGGGGGGGAACCTGTACACGTAAGCATGATACAACCTCCATGAAAGCAGGTTAACACTGTCCTGTTTATTGCCTCCTTGATGTCTCTCTGCGTAGTGTCCATAAGTGGTGCGTTATTTGAGGTCCGAATGCCGGTAAGCAGCCGAGTGAAGAGGTTAGAGCCAGCCAGAGGGGTGGAGCTTGGAGGGCAAAGGGGACCCGCCTCCTTGAAGCATCCAGACAAAAGCAGCGCTGCATCCGTACGCTGTGCCCACCCTCCAAAAGCCATCTTTTCCATTGCAAAAGATTTTACTGTGTGTGTGAGTGTGTTTGTGTGTGTTTTAAACAAGAGGCTTTCGTATTATAATATATAGACAGATATTTCTCTTTAGCTTCAATTCTGTATGTACCCCAAACAAAATACATAAAGGAGATGTGGGTGAGGAGGAGGAGGAGGAGGAAAGTGTGGCTATTAAAACAGACCCACAGCTGCTGTTTTGGTTCTTTTATCAAATTTAATAAGAAAATGCACAGCCAGAAGTATCAGAGTCAGGAGAGGAGATCACCAGGGATTCTGGAAAAGAGTGACGAACCAGACAGACAAAAAAAATAAAAATAAAAAAAATAAAAAATGACAAAACAAAGCAAAATACAGACACATACATAAGGGCTTGAGATCCACATATTCCTTTGAGGCCCCAGAGCAGATTCCCATTCTGGCCGGGCCTTAATGGAAGAAAAGTGTCCTGCATTGTTTCCTAAAATGAAATTGAGTCTCTCTCTCTCTCACTCTTCAGAAGTCACCCTACTTTAGATTCCAATGTTTTCTTTCAAGGTGAGTTACCCCAAACAGCAGTAACGTATTAAGGTTACTCCAAAGCAGTTGTGAAATTTGCAACCACTTAGAACCCTCCTCCATACACCCTTCCCAAGCTTTTCTGAGTAACGATTAAAAAAAAAATAAAGATGTACAGAGGTCTAGGTTTTTATTGTTATCATTAAATAGTGCAGGGGTATGTTTGGCCACTGTTAAGGATGCAGGCATGGAGAGGGGAAGTGTTGGATGAGTATGTTATTAGAAATGTAACAGTAACATAGCATATATCTTGCAAAAAGGACTAAAACACTAACAAATACAAGTCAATGCACATTTGTTTAAACTAGTGTAATTCTTTTTCACATTGGATTAAACATTATTTTGTACACCAAACAAGAACAGTGCTGTTTATCTTCGCCTTTCGTGCAAGAGGGACACATGCCACTTCTGCCACCGATAAGCATGAATGAATTTTTTTTTACATGTCTTTCCCCCCAATCCCACCCCACCCTGGAATTAAAATGATTTTTAGCCCTCCCACGCCCGTACACTAAAATTCTCTCTCGTTAAGGAAGCTTTTTGTTTGTTTGTTTGTTTTTAATATAAACAAGTATGGAACAAACCCATTTGTTAATACTGGAATGGCAGAAGTTGCAGGTTCGTTTTAAAAAAAGCTCATGTTGAACTAGCGAATGTCGTACCCTAATAAAGCGCCTTAACGGCTGGACCCTCCAAGGCCGACATGGGCTGTTTGGCAGGGATAGGAGCTGACTGATCCAGCTGACCTGAGGGCAGGAAATGCTGGTCTCTCATGCCCTTGGAAGAAAACAGACTGCCCCAAACCCCAGCCTGGACTCCTATCGAACATACAACAAGGGACACACAGCGACCTATTTGGACTCGGCTCCAACAAAGCGGGGGAATGGCTTGCAAGACACCTGAGTTCACAGATGCCTTTGGAGCGCTCAACACAACCTTCAAACTCCGAAAGCACATTATTAAGCTGAAACTGTACCCTATGGACACACATGCTCTGCAGTGGGTGTTACGATCACAGTGGCATCCCTAAATTGAAATAGAACATTTTCTCTCTCTTTTTTTTAAAAATCCCAGAATACAGGCTTTTTAAACTGGGTGTTGCAGTTGGCTGCCAAAAATATAAACTAAAAATTATGTCCTGCGAGTTGAATACATGGCAAAAGCAGCATTCACAGAACATGCATGTTTTGACCCTTCCCCCCAGGTTAAACGCCCCTCCCCTAATCTCTGTGAGTCACTTCCGATAAACAGCACTACAAGTTGGTTGTTTTAAAAAAAAAATGTACAAGAAAGTTGGTCATATATATATATACACACACGCACACACTTGTGGCATCACTCCACCAGGAGCTTAATCTCATTGGCTATTAGCTGGTTCATGTTGAATAGACCCTCCGGGAGCTTGGTGAGCAACTCTCTCTCTGTGGTTTCAGGGTCGCTGTCGACAGAGCTGGAGCTCGCACTCATGTTGTCGACAGTGGTGCTAGCTGGAGCGCCCAGCTCTGGCTCGCTAGTCTCGCTAGCCGTGGACACCACAGAGAGCAAAGACATGCGTCGCGTCAAGCGACCGGGGGGAAGGAGGGAAGCGGCATAGTCTGCTATGATACCAGCTACGTCTAGATTACAAGCCTTGTCAAAGGCAATGAAACCTACATTTGCATTGGCCTCGCAGACGTAGAATGAGCCATCATCCTTCATGAGGAGGTCGATGCCACATACATCCATCCCCAGGATGTTAGACACCTGGATGGCCAGCTGCTTGCCTTGTTCACTCAAGGAGCACATCATTCCTATGCCACCTGATGGGAAGAAAAGGAAGACCAGTCTTAAACGTGTTAAGCGGCATTAAAGCTTCGCGAGCTGAACTGAAAAGGACAGGTCTGTTCTTTAGTAGGGGCGCTTCCATGAAAAGCCACGGGCCAGAAGAACGGGTCTCAATACTTCAATGGTGGCATGGAGCAGGGGGAGCAGATAAACAGCATGGGGGGAGGAGACTGCGAGCTCCACAAAGAAAGACAGAGAAACGGAACCAATTTTTAGAACGGAACAGGTGAGAAAGGCACTTTTAGAGATGCAGGATTTAAAAGGGGGGGGCAATTATTCCTCTCACCCCCAAGTAAAAATTTGAAATTGGGGGGGGGGGGATTTAAATGGGCACACTATTGTCTTACAGGATCTATATTTTTTTACTTTTGCACAAAACATTTGGCATATTTACGAGATTTACAATGATAAACGCCTCCATTCCCTAAAATTGTTAATACACCCAGTATTAAAGGCACAGAGAAAGGCAAATGGCTGCCTTGGCATATGATGCTTCTGCCATCAGACAGGTAGGGAAAAATAGGCGAGAACAGAATATGCACATTTTGTACTGAGAGAGTATATTATCAGGACAGAAAAGAACCACATACAGCCCCAGTAGCACTAATGGCATGTCTGAATAGAGATAAATCAGTGCTTCCCAAACTGTGTCCTGACCCAAAAGCGGGTCACGAAGCCTGTGCAAGTGGGTCCCCATACCAGGTAAGTTTGAACATGTGAGTCACTATTCCCAGAAGAGAAGAAGAAGAGATTGGCTGTATACCCCGCCCTTCACTTGGGAGTCTCAGAGCGGCTTACAAACTCCTTTCCCTTCCCCTCCCCACAACAGACACCCTGTGAGGTGGGTGGGGCTGAGAGAACTCTGACACAAACTGCTCTTTTTCAAGGACAGCTGTGCCAGAGCTTGTGACTGACCCAAGGTCACATCAGCAGGTGCAAGTGAAGGAGGGGGAATCAAACCCGGTTCTCCCAGATTAGAGTCCACGCACTTAACCACTACACCAGACTGTACGGGAGACTACTGAATTTAACTGTAACACTACGAACACTGACCTCTTCAATAGTGTATTGTCACCATATACATTCAGACATAATATTTTGGACAACATTAGTCCCATTTAAATGACACATATAATACTGCATGCCTACAGTATACCCAGAAATGATCTATGTATGTAACTCTGGCCACGGCCCCAGAGCAAGGATTAAAAAAAAAAAAAATCCACACAATGTAAGACTGTGTACAGATTTGAAGGGTCCCCATGTTTGTAGAAAATCATGCTCATGCAGATACTGCCATTTAAAGGGGGGGGGGAAGGAGATCAGTCGCCATTTTGGGTTTGCTTACCAACCCCAATAAACATTGCTAGGACAAGAGCTTTCTGTCCTTTTTGTACCGGGAAGAGAGGGGGGACCGTGATATTTGGGGGGGGGGGGAGAAGATGCACAGTCGGGCTGGGCAGGGATGGGGAGAAGAAGACAATGGTGGCAGTGACAGGGGTGGTGGTGGCAGTCTGGAGGATGGGATTTCCCTTTCCTCACCAGCTCCTGGAAGCACACTTCCCCATTCTCTAATACTGTGGCTTTTCTTATAAAAGAATGGATATCTCATATTTTGAATGAAGAAAACTGGGTCCTTAAAAGTATTTCACTAAGTACAAGAGAGAAACGATTTCACAGAAAAAGAGTTCCCCAAAATTTCCAATTTTGTTATTAGAAAACTCCTGAGGAAAAACTCCCACCCACCCCCACAAGTTTCCTATTTCTGGAAGCCTTTAACCAGGTACTTAGGAATATTTTATGAAGGAAAAGGTATCTGTTGGTTTAAACTTTACCAACAAAACTGGCCTACCAGAGATATGCTGCAGTGTATGTTAAAAGCAGAAGAGAATGTAATGTGAGATATTTTATCAGGATCATCATGGATACGATATGGTAAGCCATAAAGGACTACATGATCAAGGGAAACAATAAACTATGAAATTCTGATTTTGCCCTTCAACTGCAAAGCAGAAAAGCAACAAAAAGTAAAATACTATTTGTCTTCAACTAATTCTGAACTGACTGGGCAAAACAACATGGATGATTTTAAAGAAGCTCTACCACAGATACAATAAATGATGTTGAAGCCACTTTTCACCAATTAGCCAAAATTAATGGCCAGTTAAGTTTGAATAAAAAAGAGACATAGAACTAACAACAGTAAACTACATCTGTCTAAAATAATTAGCAGAGATGTGTATTTTCTGGGGAAATTGGGATCAGAACATTTTCTGGGATATTCTCTGATTCTAATTCTGAATTAAAATAAGCAATTTAAAAATGTAGATAACATTAGCAAAATCCAAACAATAATTTAAATAATGTTAGTGAAAGAAGGCCAATACCACCATGTACAAAGCACTGGGGTTTGTCCATGCTTTGTATCCCACATTTAGCCCATCCACCGCAACAGTCCTGACAACTATAGATAAACAAGCTTTGTTTACAATAGGTGGGGCAAAAATATATATATTTCCACAGAAAAACACAGCATCAGAAATTCTTCAGGAACATTTTCTGCAGTTCATCACTGGTAATTAGGACTAAATATAACCATATAAACTAAAGTCACAAGGCAGTCCCCCTGGATCATAACCTAAATGCACTTTCCTTTCCATTTCTTTCATAGGAGCAATTAAAAGTCTGATTTAATCTTCCCCCCAAACACTGGCTTTAAAGCAGCATTCTACACAAAAGAATTCACTTGAATTAGGACTGACTCCCTCCCTTGCGGACATCCTGAAGGCTGGTGAAGACCAGACATGCATTCTTACCAAGCGAGCAATTGCTTTGCATTCTACCGTCTGTTGAGCAGCGCAGCATCGTGCCCACTACACGGCCTCCCACTACGATGACACGGACGTCTTTGCCATGGGACTCCTGGATGTATTTCTGGAATAGGTAAGGGGCCTCGTGACGGATTAAATGGCTCAGGTCTGCCAAGTGGTGCTTGTCTCTTGCTAGAAACACGGCTTTGCCTGTGAAAGGGCACACAGAGTGAAAAAAATGGGTCTTGGAAATCTTTGTGAATTACGTTGTTTCCAAAAGAATAAAAAAGGCAATGGGGTGGCATACTCTCTGTGTACGAATGAATGCTGTAAGAGACTGTAAAGCGCTCTGGGGGAGTGAAAAATGCAATAAAGGAAGCATTTTCTTTTTAAAAACTGCTTTAAAACTCACAATTTAATTTTAGTCCATTTCTCAACTGCCTCGGTAAAGTCTGATAGTATCTTTCAATCTTGGACTGTGCCATTTTCATGCTGTTCTACAAGAACCAGGTTATAAGAGGACTTAGCAAAACAGATTTGGGGTTCTCTGGGCACGCAGAACAGAGCTTCGCCAGCCACTGCTCAAAGACGAGAGCATGATCACATGTACAGACAGGACTGCTTGATGAACACACACAGAATCAATTCAGACTTGATATGAAATCACAGTTAAAATAAAAGCTGCTCATAGATGATCACTCATGTACTCGCCACTGGCCTTGACAAACATTGTCTTTCTGTAGACTAAGAGGGCACCTCTGGAGAACAAAGATTAAACTGGGATTAAGCCAGGATGCCTGTGTTCGTGTAACACGTGGAATCCATAGTTAAGAATGTGGGTTTGTGAATTTTGTTTTTACAATATAGTGACTAGAACACAAATCAGAATATGAAAAAATGAAATCAAACACAGAAGGTGCTTTCTTGTAGTATACTGCAAGCTAGGTATACAGAGGTCAAGACTGATTTACTAGAAATTTGCAACTGAGTGTGTTCTGTTTGCACATACAGGAAATGAAAAGTGTCTTATTAATACAAAGCCTTCTTGATAAACAATATAAACTGATAACAGTATTATTAAAACACTATGTTAATACCCACTTTGAAAGCGGAAGAATAAGCCTTTTAATTTTTCTTATTGTGAAACTGATTCAAAGTGGAAACAATAATGCAACTGTGTGATGTTTGTTACTAAGGAACTATTAATATCAAATGATTCTCATGTTGATAATCTTTATGAGTTTATTACGTGAGGAAGGGATGATTCTCTTGCACAGCTGTAATTGTATGTTTCTTTCCTGGTAAGGCTGATTTGAAGAGGTTCTCTTAAGGTTGGGAGCTATTTCTCACTTGGAGATAGTCAGGAGTAGGGATAGGCACAGACCAAAAAAGTGGAGGTTCGTGGGTTTCGCGGACTGTGGATTTTCACAAATGTTTCCCTTTAATGGACTAGTTTGTGAGGTTTGTGATGTGGTACAATGCCCCCCCGGGGGGCTAGAGATGCCAAACTTGCAGCGAGTCTCCAGCTGACTCTCCTCTACCTGTCCTCCAAGTTTGGTGAACATTGAATTTAGGGGGGCTGTAAGCAGGTGCCCCCAGGAAATTGCTCTGTGAGGAAATCACCGCTAGGGGTTCAGGAGTGCATCAAATGGACCCCTTGCAAGCTAGAGGTGTCAAACCTGCAGAGGACCTCCCAGGGATGCCCTTCTAGCTGCCCTCCAAGTATGGCAAGGGTTGGCTCTGGGGGCCCTGAGTAGCAGTTTACTCCTTTCCTCTGCCTCTAATAATCTTCTTTCTCAGACCTAATCCAAACACTGCCTGTTGCAAAGTGAAACCTGCTGTGACATGCTGAGGGTATATATTGAGTCTGCTCGTATAGCCCAGAATGGGAGCTCTCTTATTAGCAGCTAGAGCTGCCGTTCAAGCTTTGGAGAACCAGTATTGGCATTTACAGGGCTGCAGAGTGGCTGCAGAAGAACATCCCCCCGGTCTCCTTGACACTTAATTCCTCGGTGCTGGGTTGTCTGGGCCATGGACCGCTCAAACGTACCAAAACAACTGCCTAAAACATGAACAAGGTCTGTGGGCAGTCCGTTGAAATCACTAAAACATGGACTGGGCAAATAGAAAATGGATCTGCCCCCGGTTCGTGATGAAATTAGGTCCATGCCCATCCCTAGTCAGGAGACTTCAGTCAAAGCATAATCCTTATTTACCACCCCACACCTCTATGCCCACCTACCTCTATGTCCACGCGTGTTCTTCACAACCATAGGGAACTCCAAAACTTCTGCTTCATCAATCATTTTGGCAAAATTTTCATGACCACCTGACAGGGGAAAAAATTTACGTTACTAAAGACATCCAGGATATTCCCTTGGCACTTCTCAGCAACAGCGGATTCCAAAGCTGAATGACGGAGGAAGAGGAGTCCTGCCCAGGGCTCAGCTAATCCATGTTCACATCAGAAACTGTTGCTCGTAACTCTTGTAAGGCTGTCATCTGTAAAAAAATTTCTTCAGCCAAATAAGTCTGTCTTAATTTAACTATGCTTTACAATATGTCTATTGTATATGTACAGATGTGCCGTCAAGTTAGGACCCGCTTGGCGGCTATTGCTGCTTTTCATGAGGAGGTACGAGGGACTACTGTGTTTGCTCACAAATTGGCTCAGCGCTTTTAAAACGGGCTGTCCAGTGTCTTTCTCCCTACGCCCTGTATTGTCCCACAGTGGTTGTTGCCGTTAGTATTAGCTAAATTGATGAATCCTCCTTTTGAACATATAGCCTCCAGCTCCAAAACAGATGACAATGGGCAATTAAAAGGGCATTCCACTCTAGCAGACATCCAGTCCTACCATAAGAATACTGAGTTGAGGGCTTACAGGCCTGAAGCAAGGTATCTTGTATCCCTAGGGAGAAGGAGCATCCTATGGTCGGATCCTCCATGCCTTGCTACATCATAGTGCAGTAACAGGCCCTGCATCAACAGATCAGGGGCAGGGGTGGTGGTGATGGTATGTAGTCCTCGCCCGCTAGGCATAGCAGCTCCGAAAACCCAATCTGGCAGAACCAGAAGAGAGCTACTAGGATATAATATGTCCAATTGGCTATTATTATTACTAGGAATAAGGCTCGTTATGGAAATAAATACAACGAGCTCTAGAAAGAGGCTCTGGGCGGAGCCCTGGGTGCGGCGCAGCAACAAGCGGTTTTTTGGGAGGCTCCCAAGCCACCGGATCCTCTTTTCGTTCTTTTTGAAGCTCCCTGGCCTTTCCAGTCCGGAGGAGCTTCGTCTGTTCTCTCGGAGGGAGAGCAGATAGCAAGAGGCTTGTTTTCGGCCACCCACACACACGGAAAATGTGTGGGAGAGGCCATTTTTGCCTCGATGCAGGAGCGCTCGACGGAGGGTGGGCGCTAACTCCAAAAGTGCAATGTGAAGTCTAGCAGCTCTGTTCTTCCTTGTCTGCTTCGAAAACTTCGCACAATGAGCACAAGAGTTCACTCGGTGCAATTCCCTGAGGCACAAAAGACAAAGCGAGTGTCCGGGGGGGGCGATATTGCTGCCGCACTTAAGGCACTGTTTAAAGAAACCCCAAAAGGCCGGGGGGGGGGGGCACACACGACAGAGTCCAAAAAGAAATAAATCTGTAGAAACAAAGTCCTTTCACTTAGTAAAAATGAACAAGAAGAAAATGAACAAACTTTGAAGAGAAACCGAGGAATAGGCCTAAAAGCCCAAAGCAGAGAAGATCCTACCAGTGCAGCGATCAGAAGAGAACTGGTGGGATTATCGTGCCCCTCCCTTGGTCATGCGCAGTGGAGCCAGCACGTGACTGGGGAGCGGGTGCGAAAATCCCTTTCGCTTTCAAGAGGAACGATCGAGGTCAGCGCAGGCGCACTATATCCCATAGGTGTGATGCAGAGGTGTGATGCAGAGGACCACGAAGAAGATAGGGAAAG